AGTTTAACTTAATTGAAGATATAAAATTTTGACCAATATACTTAATCACTAAAATAAATGAACACAAAACATGAAATGTATTAAAATTAAACCAACACAAAGAATATAACTCCTCTTTTGGGGAATTTAATTAAGCTAATTAACAATTCTAAAGTTAGAGTTAATGATTAAAAAAAAAAAAACAATAAATAAAGTCAATTAAATGAATTAAAGGTAAAGGATAAATGAATTTGGGCCCCCTCTTTGGGCCAATTTTGCTGAAAATTTTGGCCTTTAAACCAATCCCGTTTTTGTATATATCTGATGTATATCAGTGTATATGGGATGTATACAAACCATTTTTCCGCTTTCTGGGACCTGTACGTCAACTCCAAAGACTTGTTCTTCGATTTCTCAAGGTTGACTGACTCGATAAAAGAATTTTGGGCCTCCATGACCCATCGGAAGAGGGAAAAGAACGAGAAAGAATCCATTTGGACTCCAAAGAGATTTGCCAGACAACAAGACAAAATAAGATGAGGACAGTATCAATTTCCAATAGAAACAAGCAAATGATGAAGTAATATGAAGCACTAACAAGAGAATCATAAGAATACATAATATGAGAAAGTAAGGCACAAGCATAGGAAATGAACAAGAAATTAATAAGAGCAGGGGCATTAATATTATCTCATGACCAAACAAATGACACATGCCATACACTTCGACATACATTTAACAACAAACCAAACTATAACCCATTTGAAAAGTTCAAAGATTTAACCGGCTGCATCCCATTATTTTCAAAAATAAATAAAAATTAGAAGCATGATTTCTCTTATAACTTTGCATAAGATAATAACTTTAAAATCCCGCACCACCCCTTATCATAAATAATTAAGCAACAAACTTTAAACGAAACTTGATCATGCTGAAAAGATGAACTCAACAAACATTCGAGATGAACTTAAGCGGAAAACAATATCCTTCGATTCGAGATGAACTCAACAAACATTCGAGTAAAGAAATGAAAAAAAATAAATTAAAATGGGCAGCACTAAAGATACAAGATCGAACTTAAGAGACTTCAGAAAAAACACACACAATCGTGAGTTGCAAACACGACTACAACAACTGAAATATAAGAGAAACACAACCAACATACAAGCTGTGTTTGCACAGAGATAGATTCAATAATATCGAGGCAGCATATAAGAGTTCAAAATGACCGAAACGACAACCAAGGGTGCAAATGAACAGTAAAGAAGACACAACTGTGTAACCAACACATTCGAACTGAAAACAAGTGAACATCAAACCATTTTAGACAAAACGAGGCCGAGATTCAACTAGTCATATAGATATAAATCGAGTTAATGAACATAACGATCAACATATAATATCAAAGCAAACTTCATTGATGTCGAATCCATGCTTACTGTCTAAAAACTCGCAGGAAAACAAGATTAAATCGAGTGCTAAACGAAACAACCAAATACTCTTATTAACAGACCCTATATCAAGTGTTGAACACACACAACGTCCTACATTGAAACAGAATACAAAAGAAGGTGAGGTTACCTTTTTTCGGGCAGCGATTGGGACGACGAGCTCGATTATGAAGCAACCCCCACTACCACAACAAAGTTTCATTGGAGAATCCTCCGAGTTCCCGAAACCAAAAGCCTCGATTCCAATGAAGCTATTTGAGTCGTTCTTAATATCCAAAATATCTATATTTTTCTAGGTGAAATTAGGTGATCTAATAAAAAATATGTTCTCTTTTTCGGTCTTCTTCCTGTGCCCTTACGGTGAAGGGAATAGGGGTATATATAGAGGAGATTCGAATTAAGAAAGGGGGGGAAAACGAATTGAAAAGATGGATAAGGATGAAATTCAAAATTTGAATTCTCTTCCTCCTTACCCAGGGCAACAGTGAAGGGATTCAGAAAATCCCAGAAAAGGGGAAAAAATGGCGTGAGGGTGGTTGGATTAGGTTGCTCGGGTATGGGTTCTGCAGGGTAGTTGGATGAGATTTTTGCAGCGCAATTTCTGGGTTTGTTCTGCTTGCTGCGTCGTTTCGCTGAAGAAGAAGAAGCGCGGGTCTGTTTGGTACTGCTGTACGTATTGCTACCGTTGATGTATTGTTGAATGGAATTGTTGGATCTTTTCTATTGTGGGCTGATGGGTTAGGAATTTAAGGGTGGGAAAAGGCTGCTGAAAAATTGCACTTGGGCTGAAGGAAATAAAAAAAAGCTAAAACTACAGAAAATAGCAAACTATATCTCATATTAAAATAATATAGCTATAGTTAACTTTATTTATATTTTATGGTTATATTTAATGAATAAATAGCAAATACAATTTCAGACGCCTAAAATTATTTTATACAATTTCGCACGCCTAATCCCTCTTTTCACGCTTCCCTTTTATACAATTTCACACGCCTAATCCCTCTTTTCACGCTTCACTGTTTCCTACTCCCATTTTTTGCAGCTTTCATTCATTATCCCAAATCAAATTTTTATCCTCAAATCACAAACATTACTCCTAAATCAACTTCACATCTTCAAAGTATCCACAAAATCAGTTTCCTCTTCGCTCGGATCCTTGGAATCAGCGACATTGCTTTATTTTTGGAGTTTTATTTGTTCTTTAGATCCTACATGTTTCTTCAAATTCTTTATTTTTTTATAATTTTTTCTTTGAAAGTCTTATATAGGTATACGTTTATGTTTCTTTCTAGTGTTGAAGTTGAAGATTGTTTTCAACATTGCAATGTCGAAAACAAATACTCCTAGGAGGATCACAAGAGGTACATATTATCCTGATAATTGCATGGTGGGGATACCCTCATTTGATTTGTGCATAACGCAAATGCAATCACAAATTTCAGGCTCCATTGCTGCGATGGAGATAGAGAAGAAATCGAAATTTCTTAATAGCCCTATAAAATTGGATTTGAATGATGAATTAGTAAGGTCAGGCTCTTCTAAAAGGAAAGAAGGGTCAACAATGAAAGTGGCTGAAAGAAAAATTGACAAGAGGAGGAAAGTCAAAGATGCTGTTTCGGGCATGATTGGAAAACATGTAGTTAATGAAGAACAAGAAGAAAGGAGTGAAGAAGAACTAGAGGTATGTATATTTTTTAAGTTTTTTTGGGATGTAGGATAGGTGTATACATATA